GCCATCTTGTTTGTTCTTTGGTTTTTGGTTTTTATTACATATTTTGACTGACAAGTCTGGGTTTTAGCCTTGTTAAATGATGAATTGTTGTGATCTGGACTCCATCTATTTTAGAATCTGACAGTGCTGGGGCTGCTATGGCAGTTATAGCCCTGTAAGATAGAGATTGAGCCCTGTAAGATAGAGATGAGTCAGAAAAAGAACGAAGGCACGTAGGAAGAGGAAATTTTTGATTTTTTTCTGTTGGCAGTATATTGTGAGTATACACTACTATATTTAATTGAAATACATTGAATAGGCCTTGGATATTGAGTAGTGGTGGTGGTGGTTATGTGCTATGGAGTCAGTTCCAACTTATAGTGACGCTGTACAAGGTTTCTGAGGCTGTAAATCTTTATGGGAGCAAAAAGCCTCATCTTTCTCCCACGGACTAGCTGGTAGTTTCGAACTGCTGACCTTGAGGTTCACAGCCCGATTCGTTACCACTACGCTACCAGACATTGAGTTGTTGTTGTTGTTAAGCGCCATCAAGTCGGTTCCGACCCATAGCAACCCTGGATAGGGTTTCCAAGGAGCGGCTGGTGAGCTTGAACTGCCAACCTTGCAATTCAAACGGCTTTGCAGTCTGGTGCATTAACCCACAGCGCTAGCAGGACTCCTAGACATTGAGTAGTAAGGAGCAAAAAGCATAGTTGGTGCTATTTTCTTCTCAAACTAGAAAATACATTATTTGAACTTCAAATGATTTAAATGTAAAAAATTTAAAAGATACTTGTGTTCTTCAGAAAAGAAACCAATTATCAAATTATATTTCATATAGATGGGTTTCTATAAGGGGGCTTCAAAAAAAGTTCATGGAAAAAATTGCATTATCTTTTAATTCCACTTTTCTATGAACTTTCTTGAAGCCCCCTTGGATTTCTTAGGTAGGGTTTAAATAAAAAGATTCAGTGTGCCTGTTAAACCAAAGTCAAGTTTTCTCCTTTTCTAATGGTACTTTTTTGAGGCAACAATTGTGAGGCTGTCCCAGGATTGGGCAGTGTTTTGTTCTGTTGTGCATATGGTCGCTGTGAGTCGGTGTCGACTTGATGGCACCTAACAACAACATCAGGAAAACAAAGGAGTCCTGATGTAGCACTGTAGGATAAACACTAACCACAAGGTCTGTAGTTCAGACCTGCCAGACGCTCCTCAGAAGCCTTATACAGCTTTGAGTCAGAACCAACTAAATGGCACTTAATAACTGGAAAACAAATAATTAAAAACTATCATTAAAACTAATCAGTTAAAAAAAACTACTAAAACGAATCATTAAACTATGATTAGAGCATCTGTTTTTATAGTGGTCACATGTTGCTTTTGCAAATGAGCTCTTCTCGCATATGTGCCCAATGTTGTTGTTAAGTGCCTTCGAGTCCATCCCCACCCATAGCAACCCTGTATAGGGTTTCCGAGGAGCGGCTGGTGAGCTTGAACCGCTGACCTTGTCAGAATCTTAGCTCTGTTATTTACTAGCTATAATCTTGCTGAACCTCTTCTAAGGATTAAGCAAGATAATGTGAAATTATCTTGGATTAAACAAGATAATGTAAGATTAAGCAAGATAATGTGAAATTACTGAGTATAAATGCCCAACTCCTGGAAAAATATGTCTAATTAATACCACTTTTTTTGGGTGCTGAATATTCTTCCATATTTTCGTCTTTTCATCTGTGTGATTCTAAGAAAATATTTCCTGGAAAACTGTGATTTAAGTTACAAAATGCCCTAATGTGGTGCTGATTAAGTCCGTTCCAACTTATAGTGACTCTGTATGGGGTTTCCAAGGCTATAGCTCTGTATGGGAACAGAAAGCCTCATCTTTTCTCCCGCAGAGCACCTAGTGGATTCTGTTGATGTTGTGATTAGCAGCCTCTAATGCATAACCCACTATGCCACAAGACATCCTAGAATGTCTCTTTGTTGTTGTTGTTTGTAGGTGCCATTCAGTAGGCTCCGACTCATAGTACACAACAGAAACACTGCCTGGTCCTTTGCCATCCTCACAGTTGTTTTACATTTGAACCTATTACTGCTGCCAATCTCATTGAGGGTCTTCCTCTTTTTCATTGACCTTCCATTTTATCAAGCATGATGTTCTCCAGGGACTCATCCCTTCTGATAACATGTTCAAGTGTGAGAGAGGAAGTCTCTCCATCCTGGCTTCTAAGCAGTATTATGGCTGTACTTCTTCCAACACAGATTTATTTATTCTACTGGCAGTCTGTCGTTGTTGTTAAGTGCTGTTAAGTTGGTTCCGACTCAGCAATCCTGTATAGGGTTTCCGAGGAGTGGCTGGTGAGCTTGAACCTGGCAGTTCAAACCAAACCTTGCTGTCCACCGCATTAACCCACAGAGCCACACCAGGTACTTTTATTTTCGCCAACACCATAACTCAGATGCACCAGTCGATTTTTCTACGGTCTTCCTTATTCACTGTCCAACTTTTATACATGCATGTGAGGTGATTGAAAATACCGTGACTTGGGTCAGGTGCACCTTAGTCCTCAAATGATATCTTTGCTCTTGAATACTTTAAAGAGGTTTTTAGCAGCAAATTTACTGAATTCAATATGTCTTTTGATTTTTTATGAGTGTTGATGTGGATTCAAGTAGAATGATTTTTTGACAGCTTCAACTTTTTATCCCTATATCATTATGTTATTTATTAGTCAAGTTGTAAGTATTTTTGTTGTCTTTATGTTGAGGTGCAACCTACACTGAAGGCTGTAGTCTTTAAATCTTCGTCAATGAATATTATAAGTCCTTTTTGCTTTCAGCAAGCAAGGTTGTATCATCTGCATATTGCAGGTTGTTAGTGAATCTTCCTCCAATCCTGATACCACATTCTTCTTCATACAGTCCAGCTTCTTGGATTGTGTGCTCAGCATACAGACTGAATAAGTATGGTGAAAGGATATAACCGTGATACACACTTTCCTTATTTTGAACCATTCAGTATTCCTTGCTTTGTTTCCCTCTTGGTCTAAGTATAGGTTCCTCATGAGCACAATTAAATGAAAACATTATTTTGATACAACTGGACATTGATCCACTTACATAGAATTTCCTAAAAATGCAGGCAAGCCAATATGATTCATTTTATAGAATTTTTAACAAAATTCTTAATCCAATCCAAACCTAATCATTTAGGTTTGTTATTATGTGCTGTGGAGTCAGTTCCAACTTAGAGTGACCTGAATAGGGTATTAGAGAGTAGATAGTCAGTTTGCACAATTGACCCTGCAGTTACCAGCCTGGTACTTGCTGTACCAGGGCCCAGAGGTGCTTTTGCTTTAAACCAAAATCAAACCCATTGTCGTCTAGACAACTCATAGTGTCTCTATAGGTCAGAGTAGAGCATTGCTCCTGTAAGGTTTCTAAGATTGTAAATCTTTACAAAAGCAGACTGCCACATCTCTTCTCCCTTGGTGTGACTGGTGGGTTTGAACTGCTGACTTTGCAGTTAGCAATCCAGTGCTTATTCTACAGCGCCATCAGTATTCCTTCTCTCCTTATCTCTTGTTGCTTAGGCAGTTTTGACTCTTAGCAACCTTGTATAAGCTTCCTGAGGAGCAACTGGTGGGTTTGAGGTTAGCAGTCTAGTGCTTTTCCCACAGCACCACACCAGGACCCCTTACTCTAGGGAGCAGAATGTTCCTGGGAAAGTTCAGTTTGAGTAGATAAGGGCTCATAAGAGGTAAGGCAGGCCTGACATGACATCACTTTGTAAAACTGCTGCAAATTTATAAACCAGTCTTTCCCTGATTTCGTTTAGATTGTTTCCAAATTCCACTGTTGGTGATAGTGGGGTCCCAGCACTACCTTCTTTGACAATGCGTCGGATGCGAGAGTCTGTTTCCCGGATGCCTGTGAGGTAATTTTTAACCTACAGATTTTTCTTTTATGGTGGAATAGAAGTGGAAGCATGATCTAAGAGACCAGTTTGTTTTGCATTCCCTACCTGCTTTTTAAAGCTGCTTCTGTGGAACTTGATATTCCAGAGATAGGAATTTGGAGTTGTGGGTAGAACAGAGATTTTTTCTCTTTGTGATCCTGTGGTGTTTCCATTCTGGAAAGTATCTCTGATGGCTCCTGCAGTGAGGATAGCATGACATCACAGACTAAAGAGCTTGGGATTTCACTTACCTTCTTCAGTAAGTAATGAGTTGAACCTTGGTGCAAAGGATTCTGAAATGGTATACAGTGATTCAGTAAAAATAAATCCTCAACTTGGAAATGCTATTATGACCCGGCATTGCTAAAACAATGGTATAAGCAGAGTGCTATCTTAAGGAGTCCTGATGTGGCAGTGTGGGTTAATGTGCTGGACTCCCAAGTCAGCAGTTCAGGTTGAGCAGGTGCTCCCTGGAAACCCTGTACAGGGTCACTTTGAGGTGGAGTCAACTCGAGGGTACTTTACAACAACAACAAATCTTAAGGAAGAATCTAATTAGATTTTCAAGACATATATCCTTTCTAATGAATCTATGAATTTGCTTATAATTTGTCTTTATGCTGCTATTCAGCTTTAAAATCAGAATTTTGGTGAGCTCACATGATTTATTCCATATTACACATGGATTAAAACCTAAAGTATAATTTTAATGTTTGTCCAAAATTTGTTACTTTAACATATGAGTAGTTATATTGATGCCCTTTGTAAGACTACCATGGAAATTATCAAAGACAATGTAAGTCAGAACAAGGAATTTATATTGGAATGTTATTTGGATGTATATATCTTTGTATGTTTTTTTTTTTTGATAATGTGAAAAGCAAATCTGTTCAAAACCACTGAACTTGCCTCTGAAGATAACTTACATCTCTTTTGAATTTCAGTGAAAAAAAATTAAGCCTGTGAAAGTATGTTGTTGTTAAGTACTGTTGAGTCACTTCAAACTCATAGTGACCCTGTGTAGGGCTTCCAAGGAGTGGCTAAAAGTATAAGTATTGAAATTTGTTGTTGTTGTTAGTACTGTTGAGTTAATTCTGACTCATTGTAACTGTGTATAGGGTTTCCAAGAAGTAGCAGGTGAGTTTGAACTGCCGACCTTGCAGTTGGCAGTCCAGTGCTTATCTTACAGCACCACACCAGGACTTCTTGAAATATGTCGGAAGTCAATTTTTCAAGGCAATGAAACAGTTTCCCTTAGGAAAATTAGCCTTTTATCCTTTGAATTTATGTCATAGTGCTATTTGAATGTGAACAAAGTAATAGTGAAAACATTGGACATCTTAATATGTGCTCCCAGATTCTTGGTGGGGCACTGATGTCAAACTGCAAGAGCCCCATGATTGCAACCTAAGATTGGGTTCACGTGAATTCCTATGTAAGCTAGTTTGCAGGGAGAGCAAGGGGAGAGAAGGAGGCACAGTGGTCAAAATTCTGACCTTTTTATAGACATTTGTTTTAAAATTCAGGTCTAACCTGTTAGTCCTGGTGCAGTACTGTAGGACAAGCACTTGACCACAAGGTTGCTTTGAATCCCAAGGTCAGCAGTTCAAACTCACCAGCTAGCTGCTCCTCAGAAACTCTGTATTCAGGTTCGCTATGAGTTGAAGCCGACTCGACTGCACTTAGCAGCTACAGCAAGCAACAACCATCTGTTAAAATTCTTCCTTGAAGTTCCCTAATATAGTTTCTAAATGAAGCTGGGCAAGTTCCACCTCAGTTATTAAGTGATGATGTCGTTTCCAAATGCTGCTATCCATTCTTTTTCCAAGATGCTGTAAACATTTGGAGTATTCTGTAGAAGTGGTTTATGAAAATGATTTAAAATTATTTCAAAGCACATGCATTATTTCCTTTTCAAAAATGTGCATGCAAGAACAGAATTTTTTCAAAAATGTGCATGCAACAGAACAGAATTTTTTAATGATGCAAGTTGAAAGTCTGGAAAATTGTCAAAAATTATAGTATGGGTTAGGTTTGCTCCCAGGTATTTTAATATAGTTAGAAGAAAGCCTTTTCAGTGGGTGAGGCTTACGTGCCACTCATGGGATTTTTTTTCTTCTTCTTGTCTAGTTCCCAGCACAGATACTCCACACCTCACGCCTTCACTTTCAACACTTCCAGCCCCTCCTCTGAGGGTTCACTCTCCCAGAGGCAGAGGTCGACGTCCACGCCAAATGTTCACATGGTCAGCACCACCCTGCCTGTGGACTCCAGGGTGATAGAGGTAACAGGGCCCCTCGGATACACTGTTGTCGGTAGTGATGAAATCACTTATTGTGGGTGGGGTTGCGTATATCAACAGAGAGATTTGGGTTTCATGCTTGATCAGAAATGTTGTGGCACTTTCTCAGACCCTTGAACTTTATGAATTTCTTTTTTTCCCTTATAACATCTTTAGATTGGCTGTATAATCCAATTGGTGTATCATTCAAGTGGAGGACTAAAATTTTCTGAAGAAAAGTTAACATACGAATTTCTTTTTCTTGGACAGATTTGAATAGGAATTAAGTGAGTTAGAGTAAGACCACAGGTAGTTTGATTATATGGGTGTGGGAAAGAAACAGTAGTATAGAGAACTACAAACTCTCTGGAAGTCTTTTAAGTAGTTTTATTTAGAAATGAAAGGGTGGAGTCATAGAATTTTAATAGCTAGGTATTTAAGGAGATAAAAAAGTGCCCAAAGCTAATGTTCTCAAACTGCTCTTTCTTTTCTCAACTTTTTGGGATGTTCTAGTTGTTTGGTTTACTTTCCAGTTCATCTTTAATAACAACTTAATACACTTAAAATACTTCCTTTGTTCTTTATTCTTCTTTATTTCTCATTGCTTTGGACTAGAATAACAGCCTGAATGCTTCTCCCAGGGCGTGGTCCAGACGATTTTATTTGAGGGGAAGAGTAGGTATTATTCTTCATGCTTTGCTTTCTTGTAATTAACAGGATTGCTAAAACTGTCAGAGAGTAAATTAAAAAATGAAACAATTGCTAATTTAAATTATTGACTTATTGTCAGACTAGTTTCCATGACTTCATTTTTGGCAGTAGAGCTATTTAACATTTCTAACATGGGAGTTAAAAATTGTACTGTATGTGGTATTGCCGATAGATGGAGTACATTTCTCAAGCAAGATTTTTTAGGCCAATGATGTTAAAAAATACATGTCTTTAAAAAAATCAATTCCAACCAAAAAGTAAATAGACTTACTTAATTGGCTTACACCATCAGTATTCTCCTTATCCCCACTTAGTTGACAGACACTGGAATACCCCTTATTAAAGTTTATCAGAGATAACTGCTTATCTCCATCATAAATGATTCCTTAGAAACCACAGGCACAGTTCATGTCACTTGTACCTCAGGTCACTTCTGAGAAACAGTAGAACTTGGGAGGGCTGGGACGAGTCGGTTTGCCTTGTTTTCCAGAGTATTCCACCTTTGTCAGGGTGTGAGCTTACCTCTTTTTAGTTTTTGTTATAGTGGAAAATATTTGAGTTGGGTAACTCTGACAAGCTTCCACTTTACACAGGTTCCGCTTTTGTAGGGTTTACTGTACTTGCCATACTCATACTATCCAAGGTGGCAGGATAAGAAACAATAAATTTTAATTTCTGTTTTTTTAATCACATATGATTCCACATTTTTTTAAGTCCATGCTGTTGATTTGTTTGTTTACTGAAGAAGTATAAACCATTTGTACTTGAGCTAAAATATAGATTGTAAAATTCCTTTTAGGATAAATCAATCTAGTTGTTGAAATTAGCACAGAATAAAATATGAAGAATATATTAGATACGGAGACATAAAATGCTATGATACTAAAATTCTTGGTGTGGCCCTGTAGGATAAACACTGGACTGCTAGCCACAAGGTTAGCGGTTCAAACCCAATACCTTGGAAATCCTGTACAGGGTCACTATAAGCCAGAACCAACTTGACAGCACTTTGCAATAACAAGTGCATGAGAATATAGCTGTTGTTTTTGTCAAGTGGCATTGAGTCAATTCCAACTCAGTGACCCTGTATAGGGTTTCAGAGGAACGGCTGGTAGGTTTGAACTGCTGACCTTGTGGTTCACAGTCCAACAAGAATTCCGAGAATGTGAAAATACGGCTTTTTTCTTTAAAAATCTGATAGGAATAGATTTGTTGGATAATGAAGCTATAGCTACTGAATCTTTATTTGAAATCCAGATTGGTTTTGGCCAGTCACCCTGCACTTTAAAGACATGCAGATTCCTGGGCTTCCTATCGTCCCCTCCTCAGACATAATCAATACTAGTACTGGTGGTGGTGGTCAGGTGCTGTGTCGTTGGTTCCGACTCATAGCGACTCTGTATAGGGTTCGGAGGCGCTGTACATTTTAACAAGAGCAGAAAGCCCAACTCACAATCCACTGTGTTACCAGAGCTTCTTAATACTAGTGGAGGAGGGACCAATTGGAAATCTATAATCTTAAATACCTTCCCAGGTGATTCTGAAGCCTAGCCATATTGAGACCCTAGAACCAGGCTTTGTGTATAAACTCTGAAGATGCTTGGGGTGGGGATGTCCAAGAAGAAAAGGTAGAGCAGCTTGGTTTATCATTTTCTTATAACACTGAGTGGGAACATTCCAGTGATAGTTGTATGAGAGAATTATCATATTTTTACTTGGATAACACAAGAAAATGAAGAGAGTAGGAATCCTCAGAAAAATACCTCTTTGAGCATATGGGGGTCAAATGGTTTTTTATTAGCTAACCTATTATAAATTCTACTATAAGTTTGAAGTTTTTTGGAGGTCCCTAAGCAGTTTCTAAAATTGTGCCAGGTGTCCTTTGACATCTTACATGAGTAGGAAGTAGCTAATTTCAGAACTTACCATATGGGATAAAGCAGCACTTTGTGGTCAGAAAGCTCTGGGCCAACCAACATCCATGGATTTTTAATTCTCTTCCTTCCATCTACTCACTTTGTGACCTTGGTCAAGTCTCTTTACCTACTCTAGTGTTTTCTTGTGTTAAAACATAGATTTGGTCCTTCTAGCATTCTATGACCTTTGATTTAGACAAATTTGATAATGTAGTGATGGTGCTTTCATTTTGCACATCCAAGTGAGATCTGAGTGAGCTCTCCACTTAATCCCACATTTTGTTTCATCTGGTTTTGGTGTTGGGAGCCGTAATGGAGCACAATCACCAGTCTTTGAATGATTACAATTGATGGTAAGTCTTTTGAAAGACTTACCAGTTTGAGATATATGTCTATTTATCTATATATCTAGATATAGATATAGATATATAGATACATGTTTAGTTCTGAAAAAAAGAATGTGTTTTCTATATTAATTAATCCTCAATCCTCCTAATGTTTGATGAAAACAATTTTGGAGATATTGGTAACTGACAGTTAGTGAATTTTAAAAAAGGAATGTGATTATTAGAGTATATAATTAGACCTTTTTTACATTTTAGAGGTTTTGTTTTCCACTTTGTTCCTGCAAATCCTCTTTCCCACCATTCCCTTCTCCCTGAAAAATCTTATCTAGTTGAGAGGTTGACCTGCTTTTCTTTTCTGTTTCAGGATGCAATTCGAAGTCATAGTGAATCAGGTACTTGTCCATAGTCAAGTAGCAGATAATAATGAGCTTGTTCTATTTATGCTGTTTATCTTCTTTTGGCTTACCCATGTTTGGATTGTTTGTTTTGTCTAATAAGCCTCACCTTCAGCCCTGTCCAGCAGTCCCAACAATCTGAGCCCAACAGGCTGGTCACAGCCCAAAACCCCTGTGCTGGCACAGAGAGAGCGGGCATCAGGATCTGGGACCCAGGAGAAAAACAAAATTGTGAGTAGAGCCAACAACACTGCCAGTAGGTTAGGGTTCAGTAAGATAAACCTAGTAGGAAATGAGAATGTTTTAAATAGTTTGGGAAGCTTATTCCAAAATGTACTGAATGAAGGAGATGATAAATGTTAGTGCCATTTTTGGCATACCTGTGTGGGACAGTTTGCTGGTTAGCTGTCTTTTTAGGTGGGGCACAACTCGCATGGTACATGTTAGAGTTGATAGCATTTTTTCAACATATGAAATTGGAATTTTGGTGCCCTGGTGGCACAGTGGTGAAAAAGGTCAGCAGTTCAAGTCCATCAAGGTCTCCTAGGGAAAAACATATGGCAGTCTCCTTTCATAAAGATTGTTGTTGTTAGATGCTGTCAAGTCAGTTCCGACTCATAGCAACCCTGTGTAGGATTTCTGAAGAGTAGCTGTTGAATTTGAACTGCCAACCTTGAGGTTCAAATTGACCATTGCTGACCCTACAGCACCACACCTCTGGGGCAGTTGTACTCTGTCCTGTAGGACTATTGTGAGTTGGAATTCACTTAACAGCAGTAGAGTTTTGATTTCTCTGTTCTTAAAAGGTAATGAAAGTAGATCTTTTCTTTGGTGTGCTGATGAAATAAACATTTACCACTTCATGGAGTATATTAACGATCTCTCCTTGTTTCAGAGGCCTCGTGGACAGAGAGATTCAAGCTATTACTGGGAGATAGAAGCCAGTGAAGTGATGCTTTCCACCCGGATCGGGTCTGGATCATTTGGGACTGTTTATAAGGGCAAATGGCATGGTAGGTACAGGACCCTGTCTTCACTGTCAGGACAGGGAAGCTAGGGGGATACGACCCAGTTCTTTAGCTTATGGATAGTTGATGACTTCATAGTATCTCCATGAGATTTTAGTGTTCGTCTTAGACTCCTGCAGCTTTAAATTGGTATCTTAAAAAATGTCCAAGATTATTAGAAATTAGTGAACATGATTTGAAATTTTTATTGTTGTTATGTACTGTGTAATATACAGAGTTGTATGCCCTATAGTCACATGTTGGGGGTCTCTTCTTAGAGTTCATCAAATATTATAAGTACCATGCCTTCCAAATGGACAAGAGTCTCTGCTGCTATGAGGAGTACATAGATGCTAAAAACATAGAGCTGGAAAAGGACCTTAGAGCTTCTGCATCTCAGAAAACTCAGAGGGGGGCACTGACTCGCCCATGGCCAAACAATTGTTAGGAGGAGAGGTAGGAGCCTTCTGAAACAGGTTCCCTAGGATTGGTTGTGGTTCTCCGATGGCACAGACTTCTTGATGAGTATAGGCACACTGCCAGTGTTCCCACTTTAATAGAAACACTTTTGCCTCTTGCAGAAAGGTAATTTAATTTCTATAATTGCAGTTTGTATATTTTGACATTTCTGTGATCAGGTTTTGTTACCTCTTTAGCATGTTAGCAAGCAGAGGCAGTATATTCTTAAAATTGCAGTATGCTGTCAAAAACCATCTCTTTTAATTCAGAATCTACTAAAATGCTTACGGGCCAAAGTACCTATAATCCTGCAAAAGTGCCACGGCATTTACCTTAAATTTTAGATAGACCAGCAAAATTGAAAAAGTTAAAAACATTAAATGATGAATGGAGCTTGCAAATTTAAGGCGCTCAGAACAGAAACCGTTCCAAATTTCTGAGTACTTTATGTTCATTAGGAACCTTGTTGGCGTTGTACGTTAGGCATTGGACTGTGTTACACATATGATCAACAGTTCAAACCCACTCAGCACTCTTCAGGAGAAGGTGTTCTGTGTGCTCTATAAAGACAGGCTGGCATGAGTCAGACTCGCTCAGGAGCGCTGTACTCGCTCAGGAGCGCTGTACTCGATGTGTTTGGTTCATTTGTTAACCTGCTTTACCACTTGTAACTAATCATCTGACGCATTGCTGGTTCTTTAAAGAGACAGGACCAAACATTTGTAGTTTATTAGAGTGATGACTTTGAAAATTGCATCAAATACATTACTCGCCTTTCTTCTGGGTCACTGAGAAAAACTTAAAACTTCGAGAATGTTTTCCAAGGAGATGTCGTAGATGGCTTGGGGATCCTGGGATCCCTTGGGGAAAAATTTAAGCATTTTCTGGAATGCTGTTGTTGTTGTTGTTGGTAAGTGGCATAGAGTCGGTTCCAACCCACAGTGTCCCCTGTATAGAGTTTCCGTGGAGCGGCTAGTGAGCTTGAACCACCAACCTTGTGGTTCAAACCGACTTTGAAGTCCAGCTCACTAACCCACAGCTCCACACAAGGGATCCTATGATAGAGCACTTTTATTTTGGGGTTTTTAAGGCACCTGCCACAGTACTGCTTATGAGCTTATGTTTTCTCTCAGTGATGTGAACTTTCATATTGTGATAATGAGATGCAGTTGTTAGAGTGTCAGCCCTATAAAGACTGCTCTTAGAATGTAGGTAATCTCCTTTGCTCTTTGGATTCTGGTTTTTAAGTCAACAGTCAGAGGAGGGAGGAGCAATGGGCTTTTATGTCAGCCTTTCAGAAAACAAGCTATCTGAATAAAGCAGAAAAATGAGAGGATCAAGGAAACCATAATTTCTAGATTGTTGTATACTGTCATTGTTATGGCTGCTTACCTTCCATGTATCCAGCCTGGTTCCTGTATACAATATCATGTTCTATTCAATTTCATTTAAAAATTACAACTTTTGGGTGAATTTATATTCATGATTTTTTAAAATTCAGCTTAGCAGCTGTGGAAGTAAGCAGAAAACATCTAAAGCAACCAGCATAGAAGCCTCACATCCATGAACTTGCTCAGAGCTGCTTTTTGAGCATAGGGTGGGGTCAGATTTGCCAACTCTGCTTATTATAAAAATACTTTAAGAAGGATAGAGATAGCATCAGAGGCTATCAGACAACAACTCAGAGGAGAAGGCAGAGAACTTGTCAGAAACAGATCTTAACATTCAGTAAAAACAGCCTTGTGCCACTTAGAGTAGAGCAAACAGCCTGATGTAACTTGTATCTGGGTATATCTGCATCACATCCCAACACATAGACTTAAGTTTATAACCCTGTCTGAGTCAAGCAGGCACATGAATTGATGTCTAAAGAAAGTAAGAACCTTCCACATTAACAAGTAATAGTAGATCTTCCTTCAGTGTACATGAATAAGGTATAAACTTTATACCTTATTTATACCCCTTGCATATGAAGCTAAAAATCGGGGTATAACTTTTAACTCCCCCAAAACTGTACTAGTAATCACCCCTACTGTTGCCCAGGAGCTTTATTAATAATATAAAAGGTGGATTCACATATAACATAAGTATTTTGTATGTTATATGTATGATATAAGGAGTCCTAGAGTGGCGCTGTGGGTTTATGCATTGGACTGCAAAGTTGGTTTGAACTGCAAAGTCTGGTTCAAGCTCACTAGCTGCCCCTCAGAAACCTTATACAGGGTTGCTATGAGTAGGAACCAATTCCACAGCACTTAACAACAACAACATGTATGATACTTCACTCACACAAAAGGTGTATTTTCAGTGAGATATAAATGTATTATGTAAAAGATGCCAGGTGTTTGTTCCTACTGGCAAAGCTGTAGGGTTGGCTTCATGAATTTTATTATTTTTTTTTTTACAGTGGTCCTTATGCTGAATATATCTTGAAATATCAGGCAACTGCAAACCTCCATCTATGGTACAGACTAAGCAGTTTAACTTATTCTTGTAATAAGTTCTTTGCTTCTTGGGAGCACTTCCAGCATCACTAGTGGCACTTTGTACAAGTCCCATGGTCTCATTCAGGATGTACAGTATTCCACCAAACACAGTGAAACATATGTGAGAACCACAAAAGATAACATTTTACTATGATACAGTTTCCTGGAGAGACAAACTTCTCATAAGGAGATGATTAGCATCACATGATGTTTTTTTAAAAAAATAAAATTAATATATCTGAACTTGCACAGTTCAAACCTCTGTAGTTCAAGGCCCAACATTTACAGCCCTCTAAATGATACAAGATTATCAGCTACAAGGGTATTTGGATAATTTCACAAGAAAGATATTGCTGTTCAGCTCATACCCATCTGAGAGAAACAGTTTGAAAGGAGAAAGGAATGAACAGTAACCAGTAGTACTTTAGTGTCTGTTACATGGAAGTCTAAGAAAATGAAGGAAATGTTAGACTCACCCCCAGGACGAGGTTGGAGAGCAGCTGCTGTTTGGGGTCCAGCGCTGACTTTGTAGATGTCAGCCTAGGAGAGGCTGGGGGGGGCCTCAGGTTCTGGCACATGCTGCCAGCATTGGAGTCCCCAGTAGTCCCCTTTAAAGGCTGAGTCCCCATCTCTTTGTCACAGCCTCAAGAGTACAGCTTTTTAATTCATTTCTTCTTAAAATTCATGTCTTTCTTCATTCAGTGTTTCCTGACTATTCTTGTAATCCTAGACAAAGAGCACAGCCTTCGGTATGGGTTGCATCTCAATGTCAGGAAAACAAAAATCCTCACCACTGGACCAATAAACAACATTCTTATCAATGGAGAAAAAATTGAAGTTGTCAAGGACTTCATCTTGGATCAACTATCAACATTCATGGAAGCAGTAGTCAAGAGATCAGACAACATATTGCATTGGGCAAATCTGCTGCACAGGAACTTTCTAAAGTATTGAAGAGCAGAAATGTCAGCTTGAGGACTAAGGTGCGCCTGAAAATACCAGGCCATGGTATTTTCAATAACCTCATATGGGTGCGAAAGCTGGACAGTGAATAAGGAAGATCGTAGAAGAATTGATGCCTTTGAGTTGTGGTGTTGGAGGAGAATACTGAAAGTGCCATGGGCTGCCAATAGAACTAATATATCTGTTTTGGAAGAAGTGCAGCCAGAGTGCTCCTTGGAGGCCAGGATGGCTAAGCTCCGTCTCTCATACTTTGGACATATTGTCAGGAGGGAACAGTCGCTGGAGAAGGATGTCATGCTGGGTAAGATGGAGGGTCAGATAAAAAGAGGAAGACCCCTAACGAGATGGATCAGCCAGGTGGCATCATTGATGGCATCAAGTGTGGCAGCGGTAGTGAGGTTGGCCCAGGATCGGACATTGTTTCGTTCTGCTATGCATGGGGTCGCTATGAGTCGGTTCCGACTCGATGGCACCTGACAACAACAACAAGGAATAAAGCAATGAAGAAAACTTTTTTTTTGTTTTTAATGTTCTCCTAGGATCTTAATTAATTAGTTAAGTGCCGTCGAGTTGATTCTGACTCATAGCAACCCCTGTGTAAGGTTTACAAGGAGCGACTGGTAAATTTGAACCACCTTATCCTGCAGTGCCACACCAGGACATCTTTAGTGGGGACCATAAAAAAGAAAAAGTATGTCGTGAATTTTACTAAGGAGTGAATTGGAGGGAAGTTTGCATGAGGCTTAGTTCTGGTTTGTAATAGATTGGTCAAAGAAGAGTCTGTTGAGAAAGTGGCATTTACGTAGATGTCTGAGGAGGTTCAAGGCAGAAGCACCATCAAGCTAAAAAAGTACTCCCATCACTTAGCCTTTTCACGGAGATCAAGGAGTTCTGAATGTCTTGAGTATTGCGAGTGAGGGGGTACCACTAGGAGAGAGGAGAATAGGGATGGGAGCAGATGGAGGAAGTGTAGGAGCCAAAGTAAAGACTTTGGATATCATTTGGGGGTCTCAGATATCTGTTTGACCAGCCTTTGCCTGAAAACCAGATTGTTGGGGAATTCATTCTAGGACTAGATAGTTTCTACTAAGTAGAATATGGCTCTTTATTGGCATTTAGGTATGTTTTACTCCAATGTTTGAGTGTGGCAATGTCTGATAAGCACTAGGGTACTAGCCACAAGGTCAGTGGTTCAAACTCACCAGCCACTCCTTGGAAACCCTACATAGGGTTGCTATGTGTTGAAACCTACTCAACTGAACTTAACAACTAGCATAGTGTTTGGGAGTACTGTGGCCCTGTACAAAAAGCACTGGCCTGCTAACCACACGTGTGCTCCACTTGGTGCTCTGCAGGAGACAGATGAGGCTTTCTGCTCCTGCAAAAATGTACAGCTGCAGAAACTTTATAAGAGGGTGCTATGAGTTGGAACCGACTCAGTGGTACTTAACAAAAGTAACGTGTTTACCATTGAATTAACAGATTGCTTTCCTTTCGTGGCAGTCGTCATCGGAGTATTTGCCGAGCTTCCATTTGTAGACTGCCTTCCTCTCAGAAGAATTCATGGGAAGTTGCTGCCCAGGGAGAAGGAGAAGTTATTGGTGAAGCACACATGACTAGGCTTTTGGGGGGAAACTGACAAGAGGTCCATTTTGAGATTATGGCAGCCAATAAAGGAGATTCGTTGGGCTTTTCAGGCAGTTGTGCAAAGAGAAGATGATTTGTGAGGGATGAGAGGCCATCAGAAACAAAATCTGAGTGATAAAACTGATTCTACCCCAATGAGATGGAAAAAGCAGAGGTGCAAAGACTGAGCTCCAATAAACAAGGATGGGACAGTGTGGCTTTAACCAAGAACCATCTGACCAGTGAGCAGCAGTGGGGACAAGGCAGAGACCTAGAGTAAAGTGCAGCTCCAGAAACTCAGATGGCTCCATACCTATCTGATGGGGCCCATGGGGCTAGAAGAAAAGGAACCGTTTTGCCATCTTTGCTGTACAATTAGATACAAAGAGCTAAACAAATTTTTAAGCTTGGAAACTGATGCTTGGGGGAAGAGTTTTCAGAATGCAAATGATTCTTAGTCCAAGACCCTAACCTGGACCTTGGAATTTGCAGGTAAGATTGCTCAATTCTGTGGAATCCTGGAGCTAGAAGACGACCTACAAGATCGGACGCAAATATTGTCAGAAAATAGGGAGATGGGTGAAAAAGATTAGAAGGGGGTCTAAAAGCCAGTTATGAGAGAGTTTGTGAGCTAGGATTTACTGGAAGTGTGGCATACCTGACTGTCACATCAACTTTATAGTAAGTTGCCAGGCAGATCAGTGAGGAGAGTGCTGTTGGACAGAATATAGCTTCTGGTTTTAGTAAAACAGAGTAACATCATCTGTTACTCTTAGCTGGCACTTGGAAGCTGGATGGCAGCTGGGACCCTGTTCAGTCTTCTGATCATTGACCTGGATAAGCAAACCAGTATTGTGGGTGACTTCAGTGAGAGGTGTACAGCACTGGACAGTACTCTGAATTTGGAAAAATAAGAAGACTAATGGGCTATGATGTTGGACCAAAGTACAAAATGGGCTTTTAACAGGAGGCATTCTGTCACTGGAGCTGTGGGTAGGAGAATGTGGCATAGTTGCAGGATTCTCAGATGACAGTCACTGTGAAGGAGTGTTGACTATCAGTTAATCCTTTAACCTCTGAGGCTACTGTACTCTCTGGGTCCAGGATGAATGTCTCTGAAGACTGTGCAGTGACACCCAGAGTGTGCCCAGAGGAGAAGTGTGAGGATGACAAGGGATTGCATCATAACTAGGCTACGAAATGAGGAGGTCTCACAGAGTAACTTCTCCTGAGGGCTGAAGTCCAGCATTCCCCCAAGCTGCCTTTCTGCACTCTCTACCCTGTCCTGTCCCTTTACAGGCTCTGCCCAGCACTGGAGCTTGGCCACCAACACCGCCATCTCCCTGATCCTGCTGCAGAGCTGACTGACTTCGTAGGGCGTGGTGCCTCATCTCCTCCTTTGTATCCCACTGTGCTGGAGCCTGCTCCTGGCCTGTCTGGTGCAGCAGACTCTTTCTTGTCTGACCGTCCTTTTCTGGTCACACTCTGCAGGCTGTCTCACACAGCTCGTGTTTCTCTCATCCTTAACACGACTTTGTTGTCGTTACATCCAGTCCCAGTGTCGTGTCTCCCGTTTTCTACTTTGTCTCTGTAAGAAGATGCACTCCCTCCTCTTGGAGGAACACCTTGCCCTCAGAGCACTTCTATCTTGACTCAAAACTCCAGAAAATTCTGGCCTTACTACTCAGTTGTAAGGAACTTGAGGTTAGGGCTGTTGTGTCTTCCTAGATAGAAGGCATCTCAGAAGATAGCTTACATCTGTCCTGTCCAGAGTCAACAGGAGCTACACAGGCAGCCCTGGACCCTTGGCAAAAGTGTGTGCTGGTGAATTGAGAGCCAGTTTAGAGGCTGTTCTGTTCAACAGAGGTCACAGGGAAACTGTTTAGGACTGATCACAAGGAAGTGCCTGCACCAAGGGAAGAGTCTACAGGGACTCCTGCAGGGGGGTCTGTGTGCAATGGGGAAGGCTGAACTCTCAGTCCCCACCAAATCTCCATTTATCTGATTCTGAATTTCATCGTTGGAGGCCAAGTTGGCCATGAAACTTTGAAACCCTATTGAGCTCCACGATAAGTCTGTCTAGAAGTGCAGCCAGAGCATACTTCTGACAGGGAGCAAGCAGTCTCGTTAAGGAGGGCCAGAGCTCTCATGAGGTGAATGGACATAGTGGCAGCATGGGCTCAGACATGACAGCAGTTGTGCGGGTGGCGCAGGGCCGGCATGTCTTCTCCTGTTGTACGTGGGGTGCCACAAGTCAGAGCAATAGCATCCCAGAGAAGTATGGTAAACACAGCAATACGAAAACATTCTTAGAAGTGCTTCCTAACTCTAGTGCACATATAAAATGGAATGAACCCCTAAATGTTTCTAAAGTACATGAGGAGGCTGTTTTACTTGCAATAATTGGCAGTGTTAGTTTAGCAATGGGCTAACTGTAAGAGTTGATAGGAATCTTTTTAAACCAAACCTGTCATTGTTGTTGTTCTTGAGTGCCATCGAGTTGGTTCTGACCCAAAGCGACCCGGTACAGGGTTTCCGAGGCTATAAATCTTTACGGGAGCAGAAAGCCTCATCTTTCTCCCTTGGAGCGGCTGGTAGTTTCGAACTGCTGACCTTGCGTTCTCAGCCCAATTTGTAACCACTACGCTACCAGAGCTCCTTATGGCATAGTATTTTAAGGATAAGTAGTATATCCAGAGGAGTCCTAGTGTAGCACTGTAGGATAAGAACTGGACTTCAAGGTTAGTGTGAACTGCAAGGTCAGAGATTCAACTCACCCTCTGCTCCTTGGAAACGCTACATAGGGTTGCTTTGAGTTGGACTCATGGCATTTACCAACAACACTCCTGAATCTGAAGGACATGCTGAGTGAGATAAGTCAATCACAAAAGGACAAATATTGTCTGAAACCACTGTTATAAAAAGTCAAGAAAAGGTTTTCACAGTAAAAGAAACATTAGTTACCAGGGGTAGGAGCAAAGGGAGGATGTTACATGTCAGTATAGACACATGTTAACTTGGGTGAACGAGAAGGTAATGTACAATAAGAGGGAAGTCAGCAGAAAGTTATTATAGAGGCAGATGAGTGCACTGGGAGGAGTGCAAGATTTACAGGCAACAGAAATACTTGGAGTATCCTGCGGTCACAATGGCATATGCGTATAAATGCACGGACAGACACGCAGGCTGAACAGATATGGGAGGGAGTGTGGGCGTCTACCCACAAATGTATTTAAACAAAAGCAAAACCAAAATTGTTAGGTCATTCAGCTGATTGCCCTGACTACAAACTACTTTGCAGGTGATGTTGCAGTGAAGATTCTCAAGGTTGTTGATCCGACACCTGAGCAGTTCCAGGCCTTCAGGAATGAAGTGGCTGTCCTTCGGTGAGTAGAGAGCTGGCCTGTCCAGCCCCTAGAAGGGCCGAGTGGGGTCAGTGACCGTGAGCATGTCTGGAGCACAAAGATTCTGGTGGCGTAGGAAGGCAGAGCAGATCTCCCTGTTCAGAGACTTTTTTCTCCGTTTCCTCCTCCAGCAAAACACGGCACGTGAACATCTTGCTCTTCATGGGGTACATGACCAAGGACAACCTGGCAATTGTGACCCAGTGGTGTGAAGGCAGCAGCCTTTACAAACACCTGCATGTCCAGGAGACCAAGTTTCAGATGTTCCAGTTGATTGACATTGCCCGACAGACGGCTCAGGGAATGGAGTGAGTAGACAGCCTGAGCATCGACTTGTCCCTAAGTCGGAACCTGGATTTAGGAGAAACTATCCAGTCTGTTAAAGTGATTTCTCTGCTATTTTTATACCTCTACAAACGAGTGACCCTTTGGGTGGGCTGCAGAGGAACAGTTACCAAGAATAATATACTCCAGGACATCAGCAGAGATTTAAGCTCCATTTGGTTTTAGGTGCTACCTGAAAGATTTAGCCCAAACCTGAAAACAAAATGGGGGGCAGGGAGGGGGGTGGCTTCAACTTGGATACCCACAAGTGCCCTCTGCAGATGCCAGGCATGGCCCAGCAACACTTTTGCTCATGGGAAGGTTTGATCACATCACTTTTTGGATAGCTTGTGTTTCTTTTTTGAGAAAGTTTCAAGAGCATCCTTAATTCCTCCATTAACTGCTGCCCTTCTGTGTCTGTGTTGACATTACTCAGTGAGGTATAGGCAGGAGTGGGATTACTGGCTTGATCTCTGCGGGCAGCGCTTCTCTAACTCTCCCTCTGAAGAGCTCTTCAGACTTCCGATGTTTGGGAGCCATCGAGTCGGTACCAACTCATAGTGACCCTGTACATAACAGAACGAAACACTGCTCAGTCCTGGGCCAATCTCACTATTGTTGCCACACTTGAGTCCACTGATATTGCCATTTTGTGTTAAGTTAAAGCTCATATTCTATCTTTAACATTTGAGTGTTTACATTCTGCAGATCTTAAGAAATAACTAGTCAGAATGACTTAACAGTTTTTAAATCAATACAATCAGCTGAGAATAAAATTAAGTGGTTTTTAGTGTATTCACAAAATTATGCAGCCATAGCAATCTTAATTCTAGAACATCATACCACGGCCTTCCCCCAGCCCCTAGCAAGCTCTCCAGCTTTATGGACTTGCCTATTTCCTAATGGATTTATTTTCCCTTCTTCACAGCTATTTGCATGCAAAGAACATCATCCACAGAGATATGAAATCCAACAGTATCCTTTGGTTGTTAAATTTATTTAAAATCAAAATTTAGGAAAACAAGGAAGAAGACTCTAATCACTAGTAGTAGAGGATATCTTTTCAGGAAAAGCAGCAAAAGATAGGAAGAAATAAAATCCAAAATTTAGTTTTTTGAAAAACAATAGTGTAAGGTACAGATGAGAATGATGTTTGGAGAAGGAACTACCTTTTTGTTTTTAAGACACTTATTCCAACAAAAGTGATTCTAGAAAGATTTCAGGAGTTGAGAAACATGTTCTGGGTTGTTTGGAATAGGCTTAGTTCATTTTATTACCGTGTTCTACCTTTAGTCTTGGGGATAGATCTTATGATTTATGGACAGTATGTGCCCCAGAATTACCTAGAATAATTTTTTTCTAATGAGTGGTTTCCTCAAAGGTTAATATTGGAGACAGCCCTGGCCCTCCCCACTTCTAAGACGTGTTGTTGTAGAAAGAAAACAAAGAACCACATGTGAAATTACCCTTTAGGGAGGGTGTGGGCATTACAGCCAGACAGGTTCTTGGCTAACTAGAGACATAAGGACTCAGCCAACTTTTGGATTCTGGTTCCTGGCCCATTTGGGTGCATGTCTCAGTTTTGAGTTTTTTGGGAGCACAACATTATGACATGAAGGCACGCACAGTTTTGAAGCGGTGTTTACTACTGGACATCTCAGGTCTGCCTTAAAATCTAATTTTCCCCCAAAAGGGGTGACTGCTTCGGATCTTTGTTACCAGGTGATCGCTGCTATCCCAGTGCAGTTTCTTATGAGAACATTCAGCACTAGTGAGGGATTTGCCATTTTGCTTCCACTTGCTTTTCAGTCAGTCCTCTGAAGGGAAGGACTGCTCAGAAGGCAGGAATCTCAGTAATAAGTGGCCAAGACCTTGAGGAATGAACGTCTGGTGGCAGCTTATGCTCTTCATTCTTGGGCTGAAGGCACCTTCATTGCATGGGGACATCAGGAGGCCAGAAACCCGGCATCTAGACACATACATGAGAAAAGCAGGGAGGAACTTTAGGCGGTCTCTAGCCAGATAATCTGGCATATGGTACAATCCTGCATACCTCCTAGAAGGGGAATTTCAAAATCACCTTATTAAAACTTCAAAAACCTTACAAATCTAGTGCAGAATAGGCTGGGCAGGGCAGATGGGAGGTGGAAAGATTGCCATGCTCTGAAGAACGTTAGGAAGTTTTTCAAAATTAACTTAACCATTCTTTTCAAACCAGAACCCTTAACAGGCATTGAGATATATTCCTCCATGAAGGCCTGACAGTGAAGATTGGAGATTTTGGTTTGGCCACAGTGAAGTCACGCTGGAGTGGTTCTCAGCAGGTTGAACAACCCACGGGCTCTGTCCTGTGGATGGTAAGGAATCCAGGCTCCATCTTCTGGTACAAGGTAGACAGATGGCCCTGGAGATCTCTGGGCAAACTTAAGACCATTTCTGTAGTTTCCCACAAGTTATATTTTTAATGTGGTTTTCTAATCGTGCAGAAGACTACAGGTTATTTGAGCCCAGTCTCCTAGGACAGACAGTCCAACACTAATATGGATTTCCTAGAGGCTGAAGATCACAGAGGAGTTAGCAAGTGGGGTGATAGGATCCCTTGAAGAGTCAGAGCCTTCTGAGGCCTGGACTCTTGTTCATGGAAGGGTGACGGTGGGGCCTAAACAATGACTATACTTTGTCCCTGTAGGCCCCCGAGGTGATCCGGATGCAGGACAATAACCCATTCAGCTTCCAGTCTGATGTCTACTCTTACGGCATTGTGCTGTATGAGCTGATGACAGGGGAGCTTCCTTATTCACACATCAACAACCGGGATCAGGTAAATGTGGGCTGGCTGCTAAATCATTGAGGGGGAACTCTTGGGCTTTCTGCCAGTTTAAGAAGCAAGAGGGTTAGAAGAGGTGGGGTTTTCACTCACATTCATCTACCAGTTCCTTCTACTCTTTGTTCTCCCCTAGATCATCTTCATGGTGGGCCGCGGGTATGCTTCCCCAGATCTTAGTAAATTGTACAAGAACTGCCCCAAAGCAATGAAGAGGCTAGTAGCTGACTGTGTGAAGAAAGTTAAGGAAGAAAGGCCTCTTTTCCCCCAGGTAAGACTTTGCTCAAAGGGGTTGCAACTGTATTAACGATAAATAGAAACAAAATGGAATGTGTGGTGTTTCTACAGGAGGGGAGTTGATTTGTTGGTTGGGGCAAGCAACAGCCGGAGTCTTTGAACCCAATTTAAAGCTCTTGCTGATACACCAGAGCCCACTCATCCTATTTGTGTCATTGTTTCAGATCCTGTCTTCCATTGAGCTGCTCCAGCATTCTCTACCGAAAATCAACCGGAGTGCTTCTGAGCCATCCCTGCACCGGGCGGCCCACACCGAGGATATCAATGCCTGCACGTTGACCACGTCCCCTAGGCTACCTGTCTTCTAGTTTAGATTGTTTGCCTGCACACAGGCCACCAGGGGAGGAAGGAGAGCCAGCAGGCACCACCCTTCGGCTCTTTCTATGGGGACAGGACTTGTTTTCAGAGAAGCTGCTGCTAAGGACCTTTTAGACGACTCACAGGGCCTTGACTTCATGTTGCCTTCTTTTCTACCATTCTGACCTTGGGAGAAGTTAGCCATTCACCATGCTGGTTTGTCCTGCTCACCTCTCCCCACGTGCTCTGAGCCAAGCCTTCTCCAGAGACACATGTGGATGCTGACGGCAGCACATCACCTAGGGCCCCCAGTTGCTGACTGAATAAGGGTAAGAACATTCAGCAGGGAAATGAAGGCAGCAGGCAATCCAGCCCTGATGTGAGGACCTCGTGGATTTTGTAAATAAGCTCCTACGAGGAATGCTTATTACAAGAAAGACTTTTCGAATAGAGTCGTGAGGTGCCAAAAATTAGTTTTGCACATAATGCACCAAACAGACCAGGGCTGTCAAGACCCTGGCCAGCTGAAGAAGCCTGCTTTGGTACTACAGAACTCTACTTCATGGGCAGGTCCACTCACCCAGTCTGAGGTGACTGCCGCCCCTGCCCTGCAGGGAGCAGTGTCCCAGGGTGCTGAGCAGTCTTCCAGGAGTTGCCTCAATGGTGTGGGGCCCCCGAGCCAGCCTTGTTTTGGCAGTCCCGTGTATGCAAGGAAGCCAACCATAGAGGTTTTCTGGATGATTTGGGTTTTCATTTTGTTTTTATTGCGCCTGACAAAATACAGTTCCTATACTATGGTTCCTCAATTATGTTATTTTAATAAAATAAATTAAATTTAGGTTTAATGGCTGCTACCTCCTTCTAAAGTAATGAAGTGTCAGTGAGCTCAGAGTTCACTTCAGTACATTCAAATTCCCTGGGAGGGAAATCCCCTTGTCTTCAAACTAACCAAAAAGCAATCTAAATGCAAAGGCAACATTTTTCTACTCACATTTATAAAACATTTGTGTCTACAAATGTTACAAAAATAGATCAATTCCAAGATTATGCTCCTCCTTCAATTACAATCTGATAACAAGACACTTGTGCTCAAAGTTCTTTTTGAGATCTGCACTGGATGCAGACAGAACCAGAAACCTTCTTGGATTCCACAATCTCTAATCAAAGCCAGGCTTTCCAGGTAAGATTAAATGGCTTGAGTACTCACTTTCACTCCCTACCCCACCTCCCCCCACCCCCATGAGGTAAAAGCATATGTGCACAGGGCCTTGCATACAATTACCCTACCAGGCCTGCCTGCATCCAAATAGCCCACACGTCATAGCTGGGCTATCTTCTCAGAGGGATGGATGCAAGGGCTCCTTGGAGACCAGCAATGAGAAGCCTATACTTCCTTCCACGCTGCCTCCCAGGACTGCCATGCAGAGAAGATGTATACCTTAACTCAGTCACCAAACACATGCAACAGAAGAACTGTTTTCCCTGTAAACATGGCCTCTCATCCTTCAGGTTCACCATATGACCAAATTCCAGTGTCATGGTAATTTGAAGGCTGAAAGAAGCCACAGCTTTTGGACACTTCTAAATAAATCTAAATAATAACTTAAAGAGCCTGAAAGTTTTAACTATGAGGCGTGAAGAGCTCATTTCACATAAAATTTGTTTTGTGAAAAGCTCTGTATAAGTCAAATTTTTGGCCACACACTAAGTATACTAGGGAAATTAACTACAGAGGAATCCTTTTATGGGATGAAGAATCCTTTGGTAAGAAAAGGAACCTGCTGCATTCACTGCTGGGGAGGGCGGGGATAAAGCAGCACAGGACCAGCTTCTCCTGTCCAGTCAGTTAGAACTCAACATTTTCCCATAAGGAGTTTGTAGTGCATCTAAGATAGCAACCATAAGAGTGGGCATTCCTTATGCTAGCTTACTTTATATCCTTCACTGTGGCTGTCCTGGAGCGTGGACGAGACCAAGGCTAAGGACAACCCCACTCCCAACCAAGTGACATGCTGATTATGCTGCGGCAGGTAGCTGCAGGCCCCAGCCTGGGAGGCTTCCGACCTTCTACTCTTAAGGCTCTGAAGACTCTACTCCAGAAAGGTGCATGAAGAGGTCCCCAAGCTCCGTCATGTCCACGTCTTCAGGGTTAGGGATGTGCTGGCTTTCTCGGTTCTCGATGAAATCCCAGAGTCGCACAGAATTGAAAAACTGCAAAAACATCCAGAAAACAGACCGTGAAGGTTGTTGCTTTGTCTTTTTTTTTTTAATTTCCCAAACCCACTTACTCAATTGTATTGTTACATGCAAATATAATCAGTTCCAACTATGAGGACCCTGTCTAGGGTTTCTGAAGAACTGGTGGGTTTGAACCACCAATCTTACTGTTAGGACCTTGTGGACCAGGGAACTACTTACTAAGTGTCCCTGAACAGCTCAGGGTCCTTACCCTTACAGTGCCTTCAGAACTGAGCTGTTTCCGGGGTTTCTCGGGCTCTGCAAGCCTCCCATCAGGATAAGCATGGCGGTAAAGACATTTGCTTCCAAATGGGCAGGTCCCCTTGCCTTGCTCAAAGTATTTACAGGCCTTTTTCCTGAAAAGCAAAAAGAAACCCAGAGGATGGTGTGAAAACCTGATCCCAGGGGGACCCATCTTGTTCCACGTTTGCCCATGATACCAACACTAGCAGAGCTTCACGTGACAGGTGGGGAAAGGAAACAGCCTCAGAATAAGTATGTGACTCATCTAAGGTCACATACAAAGAGGCTTCAAAATGTATATAGAAAAATGAAGTTAAAAGATGGTGAAAATCTATGAACTTTTTGAAGCCCCCTCAGATAGTTGGCACTGTGACTTCCAAGCTGGGTGAAATTCCCACTGTAGTGGAATGTCTGGCACCTTTGATTGAGCCCATGTGTGGATTTGACACTGATCTGCGCCTGCAGTGCTAAAGGCCTTCAGGGGAAAGCCTAGGGATCCCCCTTGCAGTTCCTGTACCTACCTGGCTGCTACACAGCACCAGGGGCTAGTGAGGCTTGAGCAGCCAGGGCACCAGTTCTGAAGCTAGGCCTTGCTAACCTCCTCAACTCAAAAGTCCCTAAAGGAACTCCACCCAGTGATGTTTCCCCTTGCTCTTGGCCAGCCATGATGTCAAAGGTGACCACGGGAAGCTGTGACTTGGGAGTTGAGGGAAAGCAGTGAATTTAAGCAGCTGCCTGAAGTTACAAATTTTCCTTTGTAACCTCCCACTGGAACTGGGGTTCCCAACTGTTCATATGCTGTGGATCCTTTCGCAGAACAATGTTCTTATGTATAAAACAAAACACGTAGATCCATAGAATACAGTTATCAGGGTTAGGGTTTTGTTTTGCTTTTTTGTAAGTTTTCCTGTCAAAATTCTATCCAGAGACAACCCCTAAGTTAAGAAGTCCTGCTCTAGCAAAAACTCAGAACCAAATAAAAATTCCCATTTGTTCTTTCTCAAATGAAATTTAACTGACACAAAGGACTGACACAAATGAAATTTAACTGACACAAACAGGACTGAGAAAAGCAAGAAGTTACAGAAATAAGTCACCCAGAAAAGGCTCGACACTGTCTGGGCAGCTGGTGTGTGACGGTCACAAATTATGGGCTTCCTGTTCACTCAGACAACGGGATGGCAGAGCTCAGTGGTGAAGCCCACAGAGGCAACACCAGGGCACTCTGGGGCCTGTGCTTTCCTAAGTACATAAAGTGCTATCAAGTCAGCTCTGACTCAGCAGCCCTGTCCAGGGTTTCTGAAGAGCCACTGGTGGGTGTGAACTGCCGACATTGTGGTTCACAGTCCCGTGCTGAGCCTACAGCACTCTAGTCCCGCCACCCTACCTCCACAATAATTCTGCTCTATTTCTGATCACTAAGCCCCAAAGCCACCACTTCATTCTTTTCCCATTCCATTGTGCCCACTGTTCATAGAGTACACCTTCTAAATTTAAGCCATCCTTTTATGTCTACATGGGGAAGCTGATGGAGTTGCCACCCTTTGTGGCTGGCCTGCCAGGTCTTTCTAAGCTGGTCCACCTCCCAGGAGTTTCTAACTGCACCCCAAGCAGTAGAGCTCTGTCACTACTTTACTATTCTTATAAGGCTACTGGCAGTTGGTATTCTCCATGGCCTTATGTTCCCACCACATCCTTGTGCACACCTCATATTCTAGGGCCTCACCCCCAAACAAACTCTACCTTTGTGGACCCCTGCCATCCACCCAGCCCTGCCAGCAGAGGGCCAGCACTTCAGTTCCATGGCTCTGGGTTCCTTACAGCCCAGGTGGGCCATGTGCTTGCTCTGTGTGACATACGGCTCAAGCCTCTCAAGAGAAAGTCCCTGTATAGAGAATAGTATCATCGTTTTCACTAATTTACCAGGAAATTCTTTTACACATTTCTGAACTCCCCCAAGCACCCCATTGGTACTTAAGTTGAAGGTGCCTGCCCCATACGCTCAGTAAATCGTGTCAAATCCATAAAAACAGTCCTCTAAGGAAACCAAGGATGTATTGCATTGGGCAAAACTACACAAGACCTTTTTAAAGTGTTCAACAGCAAAGCTGTCAGCTTGAGGACTAAGGTGCACCTGACCCAAGCCATAGTATTTTCAATATCCTCATATGCATGTGAAAGCTGGACAGTGAATAAGGAAGACTGTAGAAGAATTGATGCTTTTGAGTTATGGTGCTGGAGAATACTGAAGTGCCATGGGCTCCCAAAAGAACCAACAGGTCTGTTGGGGGCCACAATCACTGAGATGTTGAGGCCCTGTGTCATGGACGAAAATCCTACACGATGGCCCCACTCAGGACGGCTAGCCAGGGACCCTGAGGGCCCAAGGAAGTGACCTCCAGACGTCCCAGGTTCATTGGCTTTTACGAACTCACTGTTGGGCTAGCTCTGTATAATTTTCTTTGGTCCTATTATTCATTCTATGGTTCGAACTCCAGTAATTGTAGCTTCTGAGAAAATGGTTTCTTATGTGCCTCTCTTAATGTCTCCACTGTGTTCACAGTGCATAAGGTTCTGGGAACAAATCTCTCTGAGGAACAAACTATGGCCACCTGGCAAGCATGTCCAAACTGTTCTTTATCAAATTATTCAGTTATGTTTGATATTAACTTAATACATGAGCCCTTGATACCCATGGACAAATATTAAAACAAAAACCCCTCCTAAAGCCGAGGCTGTAAAAAGTTCCAAAGGCAAGTTTGCAAGGGGGCTCTGGAGAGTCTGCCCAAGGAATTCACTCAAAGTAGATTGGCAAATTCCGGGGTATTGTTCAAGGAACAATAGTGACAGCCTTCTCAAATTGTCCCCAGGTGCAAACTATTAACCTAGGCGTCCTTCTTCCTCCTGCAAGCCTAGGATAGGTAGCTGAAACAGATGTAGTCCTTTCAGACCTTTTGAATCCTTTTCACCTTTTCCCATTCGAGATTAAGTGCTATAGGTATGTTAATTAGCCTGGAGAAACCTCGAGCTGCTGCCTTGGGATTCGAACCTAAAAAGTAATTTATAACAATTTGTTCGAATTTCTACAAAATTAAGGATGTTAGATCATCAAGACAATTTGCGATGTATGTTTTAGAATTTGTTCCTGTAAATCATTGTGTCCTGTTTTGAAAGATTAATCACATTTCATTTCTGTACCCTGTCTTAATAATCCCTTTCTGCCTTTGTGTAAAGCCCCTCCCTGAAATAAAAAGGGGGCACAGACTGAAGCCCGCATACATTACTGCCTGCAGGGCTGGCTGTGCATTACTGCCTGCAGGGGTCACGATGCCTGCAGTCCAGGGTCTGCCCGCCAGTTTCGCATCCACTCTAGTTTCGGGGTGTCTCTTTGTCTCTCTCGTTGCATCTTTGTGTGTATTTTTTTTCTGTCTCTGTCACCGCCGGATCTCCCTACTTCATGAACCAAACTCCCCTGTCGAGGCCGGACCTCGACACAGATCCATTTTGGAAGAAGTACAGCCAGAGTGTTCCTTGGAGGCCAAGATGGTCAAACTTCATCTCTCATATTTCAGACATATTGTCAGAAGGGACCAGTCCCTGGAGAAGGATATCATGTTTGGTAAGGTGGAGGGTCAGAGAAAAAGAGGAAGACCCCCAACGAGATGAATTGACCAAGTGGCAGCATCGAGGGACTCAAGTGTGGCAACAGTAGTGAGGTTGGCCCAGGATCGGGCAGTGTTTTGTTCTGCTTTGCATAAGATCGCTATGAGTCGGTACCGACTCGATGGCACCTAACACCAAAGGAAACCAAAGTCAGGGGAAACCTAACAGCCAGCAATAGCACCAAGTCTCCAGGCTGGGACTCCAAGTGCTTTGCCATGCCTGCCCTCCAGTGGACACAAGAGGGTAAACCAACCTGAAAACACCAATGACTTTTACCAGACTGACCCTCCAACAGAACTTGCAACACGGCTGTTAGTAAACAAACTTCAGGGGAGCAGACAGGAAGAAGGGAAAGGCAGGATGAGTTACCGTAAGAAAGAATCAGGGTAACCATTAGACAGTGAGCAAGAAATCTCCCAAAGAACGGGGCCTGAGAAAGAAGGCTCCAAACACTGGCTATATATAAAGTACCCAAACTTCTGGCAAATCCAGAAGCACTGAGACAGGAAATTTCTGCCCGTTGGAGCCCAAACAACTGTCTGCTAAAAGAAAAACATCAGAGGAACCTAACAGAACCTAGAGGTCACGTAACATCTGAATGTCTGTAACAACCCAAAATTTGAAGAGTACATGAAGAATCATCAAAACATGACTCAATTTCAAGAGAAAAGATAACCCACAGTTAGCAGTTAGCTTGTCCCACAGCACCAACCAGGCCTCCATGGGTTAAATGTCATCGTCGTTATGTGCCGTGGAGTCGGTTCCAACTCATAGCGACCCTGTACAGGGTTTCCGAGGCTGTAAATCTTTACGGGAGTAGAAAGCTTCATCTTTCTCTGGCGGAAAAACTGGTAGTTTTGAACTGCTGACCTTGCAGCTCGCAGCCCAATTCACAACCACTTCGCTACCAGTGACCTGCAAAAAGATATGGCCAGGGATGCGGCACTTCCCTGACCAGGCAACCCAGGTAGGGAAGTCTCCGGGGAAAAGGGGCAGAATCGCGCATAGGCAACCTCTGTCTAGCACACAGACAGCCTTTGAACAAATATAAGATCTTATATTTCAACAGTCTGAACTTGTTTTTTTAAAGATCAAATTGATGACGAATTATAGGCATTTTAAGATTTTGCCTGCCTGCACGCAGCTCCTGCTTCCGTGCCCACGCCCGTGCCCTCGCCAGCAAGTGCCTCTGCCCCCTGCAGACACTGGAACGCAGGGCTAGAGCAACCCCACTTAGGAGGCTGCATTTCCAGAGAAAAGGATAACAAAGCTGAACAAATAGAGAGGGATATCGGCGCAGATATCAGGAAAATTGGGGTACCCACGGTGCAGAGAGACTAAGAGAGGCATTCTTTACGTCATCAAATACGGACACTGCCTCCCTCCAGCCATTACCCCAGCCCTAATAGCCCCAGACTAGACCAGCCCTCTGCCAAGCCACCAAGACTCA